TTGTTGATGATTGCGCGCTCTGTTCTTAATACCATTCAACAATGGAATTAGAACACATTTGGTTAGTGATTGTTGATAATTGCGCGCTCTGTTCTTATACCATCAAACATTTGAATTACAACATATTTCCTTACATTTGTGGATGTTCTGCTTTGACGCTCATCTGTTGGTAGTCTTTTGTCTCTGTTTTTCCGATTGTTTCTTTCATGATTGCTGGAAGTATGCTTATTATATATTTTCCTATTTTCTTCCAGGATTAATGCCCTACAATTTCCTGTGCTGTCAAACTGGATGCCTGTTATCACAGCTCAGCTCCATAAGTGATATTTTTTCCTTTTCGATAATGGTGAAGTTAGCAACTATGGCGCTAATTGCTGTGGTGCCTGCATTTATTATCAAACGAATCCATAAAAAGCGTACATCCACACTGAAGCAATGTAAAAGTGAATAATACTTAATATGTAAACGAATATATACATTTATTAAACGCATCGCTTTCGTTATGATTTGTCAGATATCATTTCGTCCACGATATATTCTTGTTATTGATGTCACTACAGATGCTATAACTAACTGGAGCAGATTTAGTTTCTTGGAATGCAAGCTAATGTTCTACGGGAACGCATGCATCACTAAAGGTTGGCTGAACGAAGGCGCGGATGAACATTAGCTATATATGTCAGTTTTATAATACCGCGTAGGGGTTGGGTGGGGCAAGCATCAATTGGGAGACATGGAGAGGAAACTGTTACAAACAATTCGCCACACCTCCCGCATGTGTTCATTTAAGATGAGAAAAACCGACTCAAATGAGTCTGAAGGGAATAGAGGAACGGTTACAGTCCAAGTCCGCCCAGCCTAGAACTACCTGAATGAGCTAAAGACGAACTTCATTTAGCTTCATATTATATCAGTATGATTCTACCTCTACTTGTTCAATGAGTGAACCGCCAACCGATTGGCTAGCTCGGTTGAGCATCGGACGTTCGTGCCGGAGGTCGTGGTTCGAGTCCCGGCGGGACCAACACTCGGGGTCTTGTAATAACTGAGGAGAAGATGCTTGCCATCATACCCATAGATTACCTTCAACCCGTACACCACGGGTTTAAGACATATTCACGACTTAATTTCCATAAATTGGATCGCAGATCACGCATGCACAAAGCACTCGATATCCCAACTTTTGATCTATCCGTTAGAGTGCACGCACTAAAACCATGAACATTAAATAGTACTAATTAGTACTATTTCATACARAATCCTTTGTTTTCTATTGTTTAATTATCACTATTTAGWGCTAAAAATTAGTATTTSTTTCACGGATTTAGTGTGAGCACTCTATTAGGATTTTGCGATGTTAATTGCCAGGCTTAACTGTTGGGTTAGGCTTCACGAATTGCCAACGTCCCCTKTGATTGGTTAGGTTTAGGGGCGGGGTTGGGAAAAGGTAATTGTTTCCTATTGTTCTACACGTGTGCCCTCCAATAGGATCACATCTTGCAAATTCGTGAAGGATGACCCTAACTGTTTGAAACCTGCATCACATGTATTGTTTTTTAAACCAATCATGAAGCTCGTTACAGACGGTGGGGGACCCCTGTATCTTGCAGAGTCCCATCCCCTCCCCGTCACTCTATAAGCACAAAACAAATCCAAACAAATCAAATACAAACAAATCTCTTAAATTTGGATATTCTTTATTCTTTTAGTCCTAGTTATTTTCGTATTAAATATTAACGTGATAAAAATAGTGCCTCACTAGATAAGAGTATATTAATCACCAACTTAGATTAGACTTCTCCAACGTGCATGGTTAAACATTAATCCTCACGTCAACGGAGATTCAACTACTGATGTCTAAACAAAGCCGCCAAATTGGATGAACCTACGAGGTGTGTCATTGGTTCTTTTGCTTTTCGAAAATCCAAAATGGCGGCCGAGTCTTGTGGTATTGCATTTTGGGAATAATAGTGGGGAAAAAATTCTTTGGGATAGAACTGTTTTCCCCGGTATACCAAAAACTACTGTGCAAGTACTCCATTACTGATACCACAGCAAATTCATTACCCAAGGAAAAGAAAGAAAAGAAATATTACAGGCAAACACAAAAATAAATCAAATTGGACATTTGTTGGATGGTCCATATATTTTGTAGAAATTACCCCGAGATAAATTCTGCTAATAACGACTATTAGAGAACAATACAAAAATAATATCTGACGTTTACCTAACTAATGATGGAATGGAATATTTTCCTCGTAGATCCATATTGATAACTATAAATAATGACTACTTCTTGTGTAGCGGATCATTTCTCAATGTACTCGGACACTAAACTGACCTTCTCATTCGCGATGGCTTCATTACAAGCCTTTGTGCGAACCGACAGACGAGGGAACAGCATTGGTACAGCTGACTCGTACATTTCCTCGTCTATCTGTGAAGTAGGCGAGCCAGTTTCGTACCCAAAAATTACTCATTAGCCAAATCGTAGGCTCTGGAAAACACTACAATTTCAAGTGATCTGATTGGCTGACTGGGATTACAAAGGTGCTATTTTTAGGTTGGCATTTATGGAAAATGAGGCGGTAGCGACTAATTATGTGAAACCTAAATTTTCATGAGACCTAGACTCTTTAGAGAGAGAAAAAATTAAATTTGAATGCTGCATCACTAAATTGAGAATATCTCTTGCGAAGAAGCTAAGAAAAGCAAAGTCTGGAAACACAGTGACCAAATGATCAAACTACTCAAACATAAAGCAATATCTAGAGATATTTTAGATATCGGGACTTACCATTTACGTTGGTTAGAATAAAAATTACAAGAAATCTAACAAATTTTCAAGAAGAATTTTGAAGAATTTTTCAAAACTGTTTTTCTCATTGTTACACAGGACGATTAGCAACGACGATTTTTCGCGGTACTCCATTGAGCAAAAAATTGATGCCGTGTAACATGCCATGCGGAGGACGCTACGTTAGGATATCCCAGAGCCTACGATTTGGCTCAGTAATGAGTAGGGTCTGGGTACGAGGGGGTAATCATGGCAATTTCGTCGTGTGTCAACGGAACGTGCTTCAAGTGCGAATTTCTGTCTTTTGAATAGAACAGACATTTTTTGAAATATTCTAGCCATTTTTAAAGTGAATTCATATTTGAATTGCTTTTACGTCTAAAAAGTTGCATCTCTCATTTTGGCCACTCTCTCTAGGATAGCCACGTGACTGGCATAAAGAGGGATGTTACCGCTGACTCGCTGCCATCGTACTGCTGCCGCATCATCTCCAGCCTTTATAAAATTATTTTAAAAAACGTTAGAAAAACTGGCATGGACTATCAAATAAAGAGTTTTGTGGTTTTAGGTATATATAAATAACACGTGACAGCAAATTGATTACGGGATGTTCAATGCTTAGTGTGCGACTTATATTAAGTTTTGAATGCACGCATGAAGTTGCCTCAGCACAAAGGAAGCGTAAGAGTAGCACGACGCGTAGCCGCTGGAGTAGCGCGTTATGTCTTGGCTATATTATAATACACAATGAAGTTGAATGTTTTCCCATTATAAACCACGTGTCATTCTCTTGAGAATAAGATTCTCTATTTGAGTTGTATCCATATCCATATGCCTCTTGTGCAACCGTTACACAAAGAAATAATACTCTAGGGAATGACATGTGGTCTGAAATGGTGAAAACATTACGCCCAAGGTAACTGAGGTCAATTAAATGTAATATGTTACTAGATAGTACCTGCAGCTTAAATTCATTGAACAGGTCTCCCTTGTCATCGTGGAAATTGACAGCCAGGGTTTCCATCCAAGAGTTATCTGTGTTCCTTGGATCATCCACGTAACCCTTGTATACCTGACGGCGACAACAGGAAAATGAAATATAACCAAATGAATCAATGAATGAATCAGAAGTTAACGAATTTTGAGGTAAACTGATCTAGTATAAGTGTTGTCTGGTATGAGAGGTGGCCCGGCTTGTAGGAAATCTTTAGGCTTGCTAAAGGTAGTAGTTGATCTACCTTCTCCTACTTACAACCACATTATCTAGTGACCATTGACCAATACCTACCTCTTCTCCATGTTGGAACAGACGTTCAATCTGTTTTGCAATCTTATCTTTTTCTTCAGGACTCGTGTTCAACTTGGCCAAGGCCTCCTCTCCAAACTCGGCCTTGAGAGCCTGGGTAACAACTTGACCTGGTTCTACCATACCCTATTGATGAAGTAAAAGACAATGTTAATGTTCTGTTGAACTTTACTCAAGTTACAAAGTCATTAGAGTATCCTTACCCCAGGAATGGCCCATTGGTTGTTGTCCTTACGCAGAATGGCGACAAATTCCAGCACTTTCTTGCCGTTTTCCAGGACCACACCAGCATTTGTTCGCTTCCAACTGAAACAATATACAAATATTAAACTAAAAATACATCCGCATTGATCGTTAAGCTTTTCACTAGCTTCAGTGTTCTTACCAGGCCGCGCCATTGCGGGAATCGCGCATAAAAAAACACAAATGGCGCACAAATTTCAACTCTATATATTATCCAAAGAATACTTCCTGGGAATTTTAAAAGATTTAGAGTACTTTTGAAATAATTAAAGTCGCATTATATTGTCAATAAACAAGGTGAAAGTCCACATGAAACGACACGAATCGAACATAGCCGCCATCTTGTATTTAACTCGCTAAGAGGTCTGGGATTAGTCTATGTTAACTGGCCTTGTTTATTGGAGGCTCAAGTATGGCTGCCCAGCGCAAGTTTATTGTCTCATCACTACTAATGAAAAACTGTCTTAAATTGTTTTAGATTTGCAACAAAGTAACCGGCAAAAAAACATTATTCTTTGTTTTAAGATTTTGGAAATGCATCCATCCAGTTTTCTAAATGGCCCCTAAATTTTGGATTGGTGGGCTCTTTGACCCCCTGAAAGAAATTCCTGGTCAGAACACTGCTAGCTTTGTCGTACACACCAACACGGCTGCTAAACTCTCGTCTTTGGAGACTTACATTATTCAGTTTGTCTAATATTAATGTGACGTCATGACCGCTATCTTGATATATTTTAATTTTTAGTCAAACACAAAGGCCCAAACAGGGCTAAGAAATTATGAATTCGAAAAATTACCAAAAGCAATGAAATCTCAGGTCGGCGTGCACCTTCCGGCACGAAAACGCACACGGCCCGGTATTAGATAACATACTCCATGGAGTATATTTACTGACGATTACTAGTGTCGTTTAGTGCTAGATAAAACTACATACCGTGTAACTATGGGGTCAGCGGCATGGTTAGGGCCAAAACGTCCAAGAAGACCTCGACCTTTCATTCCTGTTCTTCCCATTGGGTTTCTGTGAAAACAAGAAGACAGAGACATGATAGAAAATTTGGAGAGTCATTAGATGGTGTAATAATGTTTGCGTCCATAAACTAAATGTGAAAATATCAAGTGATCATATGAGCGAGATAAACCCTTGCATTTGATTCCTGGGATCAATAAACAAACTTTACAAAACGTTTTCATTTCTCAAGATAAAAGTCCCCTTCACGGTTCCCTGCGCCATCTTGAAAGCCGGGTAACTGTGCCTGTAAAGCAAAGACGACCTTACAATGAGAGAGACATGTAAATAATTGTTAAAAGAAGGTCTCTATTATCGCAAGGCCGTCTTTCTTCACATGCATGACAACCTTTCAAGATGGCGCAGGGCGAAGAGGAATATTTGGTGACCCCTTCTCAAGGCCAGGATATCATGCATCTAGACCATATCCAAACTTACAGAGGAAGTCCATCTTTGACTTTGTACTCTCCAGTGTAGCTTGTTCTGTCGACGTTGTGCACTTGATCAATTTGGTTGTACTTTAGCTCTGGTCGAGCATGGACTGACCTAAAACATTGATTACAAGAAGTGTAAGTTCACTTCACTAATGAGTGTGGGGTTCGCCGTGAAAACGAAATCTATCTTAGATATCTTGCGTGAGGCCAGTATTGAGTTTTGGTCGACATATTCCCTTCCACACATGTACACATCTAATTGAATGATGAGATGTGTAACATTAATGTCAATATACTCACATGGACATGAGGTCAGGGTCMGCCCATGGAGGCTTACTGAGGACCACAGGTGCTGTGTATTCTACAGGAGAATAGTCAGGAAAGCTTACCTAGGAAAACAARATATCAAGTCTCTAATATTAGAGGCATCGATCCAAATAATACTACAAAAATACATATTAGCAATTTATGATTTATATATTTAGTCTCAATATCCTTCTGATCTCTTCCAAGATTCTTTTTCGTTGATAGTTCATTACCGAGTAGTGCTTTAAATATTTTTCGAGTTCCATATTATCACAGTGTTCATCAGGATTCAGACTCATTTACTCAAGGCCTCGYATCAGTGTTTAATTTTTTACAAATACCAACGGTAGAGTAGAGAACGCACAACTTCAACAATACATACACTTACATACACGGACCTTCACTGGAACATATAARTATTMTGCACAAAATCGAGGCTAATCCTGAGCAACAGTCAAGTGGCACCTAGTTTGAGTGCACTCACACTTATCACAGTTTACGAGAGTTGTCGTCACTGTCAAGGGTACGACAACTCCTCCGCAGGCAACTCCTTGGGCTCCTTGGGCTTCCTTTGGCGGGGCGGGCTAAAGGGCGGGCTTCCTTTGGTATTTTAGAACCGCGAAGTTTTCGTTTATGTTTCTTCGTTCCCAGACTCCCATATAGAGAGATAGGGAGATTCAGAGAGATGCCTGCGGCTGAGGCTACTACAATTCAGGATCTTTCATGTATATACTTTTGCCAAAATGGTCACTCGTGAATTAAATATCCTCACAGTCAAAATGTAGAACGTTGTAGTGCGCATAATATTGAAAACTGCGACACGCCAAACAGATCATGCAGCTCATGCTCAAAACCTGATTATTACAAACGAAAGATTTTAGATCTCCTAGAGTYCCATCGATAATTGCATGTTCTACTTACGTCCCAAGACACTTTATCGTCAGGTACTTCAGCTCTTCTGATAGTTGACTGTGGATATGGTGAAGAACGGGCTTTATG